GAACTATTTGTACAGGCCCTATCTGAAGCTCGTTTAACAGATATTTCTTCCTAAAGCAGTAGAACTCATGGGGTGTGTAATTTTGGCTGGAAAGATCTGCAGAAACCTGAGGAGTTATGGTATTGAAGTATTATCTAAGTAATTTAGCTTTGGACTGAAACACATTAAATACCGTGTCCACAAGTATATGGAAATCTACCTAAAACTGATTTAAGCACTGAAAAGAACAGACCTGAAACTTGGGTATCTTAAATCAATGGTGGAATATGTTAAGTGAGCAAGTGAAGGCACTGCTCTCATCTGTTTTTGTTGTTTCTCCTTCATAATGCTGCAGACAGAGAATGGAAAGTTACGTCACGTTCCAAGTGTTACTGCTAATTCATCTGCAATCTCATAAATCAAAATGGTATTTTCTGGGAACTGAAGAAGTCAGAAGGATTGAAAAGACTCGTTACTTTTCTGACTATTCCTCCACTCTTTGTGGGAGAAACTTAGAAAAAAACACACAAAGACCACATTTACAAGAACCAGCTGCCTACTTGATCTCTTAATCCTGAAACAACTTTTTTACTCCTCTCATTTGCCAGAAGTTTAGCTGTTCTCCTCGCAAGCATTATCCCTTCCAGTATCTTACGCTCAGGCATCTCCCCTGCTGAGGGCATGGAAGTACGGAATGGACCCAGGCAGTAAAATTAACACTGCTTGATCTGTGTGTGGATCAAAGTCATTCATCCATCCTTGTGTATGGAGGGTGGGAAGGCTCCAAGCCACTGCCATAGGACCCAGCAGATAATCATGTTCAGCATGGTATCAGCTCCATCTGCAACCACAAGCAACTGATTTCTAGATGTTAAGACCAGCCTCACTTTTATCCTAACTGAAGGTGTGAGGTACTCTGTCACTTAGCAAGTTGTTTCCTCTGCTCCTGCACTCAGCTTTCTATTTCAGTGGACTGAATCACACCTTGCCAATGCAAGTGATGATTGGCCTCTAGCTGGATTAATGAATGTGAATTTTGGCTGGCTTAGAGGAAATTGAGCGTTATGAGTCACATCAGAGTGTTCCCGAAATAAGAAGAGGAGATAAGATTTTCGTCTCCTGGGATTTTGCTCCAGACAGAATGGAGACTGTCTTAGACATCCTGAGAAATTCCAGCTTCTTTTGTAGCAGCAGTTGTATTACCTACTGTATTCACACTTAATGAGACGGAGGCTGAAGGATGAGTATGCCTTCAGAAATAATCTTTTCTTCCCATCAAGACCTCAGGGAAAACATGTACATTAGCCCTTTTGTCTCTGAATTTCTAAATAATTAGTGTTTCAAGCTCCTGTCTAAACAGGAAACACCTTCACTACTGGCACCAGAACTCCTTTTCCCCTCAAGGCTGGCTACCGCTTTCCTCTTCTATGGAATGAAGAGGAAGACTGGAGTTTTTTGCCAGGATTTCAAAATTGTATATAATTTTACAGCTCTTTGCCATGGGATAAATGTCTACCATACAAACTATTTTGACATAAATACGTTTCAAATATTTTCATATTTGAATGACAACTATGCCTACTATGCAAGAAATGGAATTGAGTTGCTCACAGTAATGTAATTCTCTATTTTGTCTTGCCATAAATGCGTAATTAGCATGCTTTAAGAGGAAGGCTAGCTTAGAAATGTTTAAATGCAGGTGAAACCTTACAGGTAAAGAACCATCTTTATAAGACATGGCCAAAAAAGTCTGAGTCTCTGTCTGTATTTATGTGTATATACTCAGGTTGTCTGGGAACCTAAAGTATCTTGTATCTGTCTTATTTTTGTAGTAATAGCAAATTCAATTAAGACTTTTAATCATTTAAAATAACTTTAACTGCTTTCCATTTCCATAAGCTCCTTCTAAAGACACTGACAAATTTTTCCCAAGCCAAGACTTAAATCTCTAAAGGAAAATCTCCATGAAGAACTCCTGTTCTAGCACTGCTAAGGCTTTAGCATCTAGAAAAATGTCCTTTACAATTCTATCACTACGTATCAATCCAACTACTATTTCTTATAGTGGGTATAAAGACTATAATATACTACTATACTAAATACCATAGACTACTATAATAAACTACTGTTTCTTAAGTGGGCATAAAGAAATGTTCATCAAATTCCTCCTAAGTACTCTAACACGCATTTTATATTTTAGAAGATCAAGTAGATTTCTGCTGTCTTTTCTGGCTGGAGGAGTGATTAAAATTCCTTTTATAGTTATAGATGTTGCACTTTTTGCTCTATTTTCTGAACACACATTACTGGAACTGCAATGCATTGAGAACTGGTAGTTGAGAAGATTAGATCACTTGCAATATGCTTGCAGGTCAGGCAAACAAAATGAGAGTGTTGGTAAGAAATAAAACTTTATTTTCTCGTTTGAAAATAGTGCAGGGTGTCAGGAGTGTGGTATGGTTCTCAATTCTTTAAGAAACACGAAAAGAATAAATAGAACTTTGCTTGAGTTTTAAATAATGTATTGACTGTGTTACTCAGGGTTTTATTGCATATTTCAATTGCTTTCGTTAGTATTTTCCAATACAGTTCAAGTATCATTCTAGGTAGCTGTGTGGAGAAGTTGGCTTCTAATTACCTTTCCTCTTTCTTGATGCAGAGAGACAATATTTGCTTCTCGTCAGCCCTCTGACACATACTCTCAAAAGTAACTATCAAGAGATGATTTGGTTGGATCCTTAAACACTAATTTGATCATGTATAACAAACCTAGAGGAATCTTCACTCCAGGTCCGTTCTGACCTGTTCTCTTTTCCCACTGCATAACACTCTTGCAGTGGGTATCTGCTAACTTTTCTGTATGTAGAAAGAAATTACATTTGACATGTCTTCTGTCCATGGCAGCCCCTCTTTGAATAGCAGACCTGAGTGCTTTTACTTATTCTTACTCCTAATATGTGTATATAGCTTTTACTTGCCTGTTATGTCATGTAGTGTGTTATCAACTATACTGTCCAAATAGAAAATTAGTTTTGATTAGGTAATCCTTAATAGGCATCCATATCTGTAATGGAAAATAGGTAGTCTGGAGTACTCCAGATCACTTTAAAAAAGCTAGTTTCATGGAACTATGTCTGTGTTCATGTAAGGACAAGGTGGGAACAGACAACTGCACCCAGCTCAGAGCAGTGCAAGAACTGATGTTCTTTATTGAGTTCCCAAATCAATTGCTCAAGGAAGAAAGAGTGCAAATGAGAAACAACAGTGAAATGAGAGGCAGGCTGGATGGCTTTTCTGGCTTGAGTACCTGCAGTTCAAAAGACACACATCAGATGTACGTTTTTTCCTATAATATCTATAAAGCTTCAGCATGAGCTTTCACATGCAAGAATCTCAGTCTTCCTGAGCAGCACAGGAGCTGAAGTTTATAAGTGCCTTTAACTTCAATGAGATTTTAACCTCTGAGTTTTGTGCTTTTAAAAACACTTCTCATTATTTTTTTTCTCTTTTTTTTTCCTCTTTTGTGTGTGTGGGGGGGAAACTTTAACATTTGTATTTGTATTCCATTACATCAAAATGAGATAATATTATTCTTGGATTAAAGAATTCCCTGGGAAAAAAAAAAAAAAAAAAAAAAAAAAAGAAAAGAGAAAGAGCCCTATGTTGGTGATGCACAGGGGAATGCTGCCAACAAAAAGAGGCATTCTATTTTAGGTGAGAGTCTTTACAGACATCTTGCTCTGGGGCTTGAGTGGTGTTTTTTAGGGTTTTTTGTGTGTGTGTGGTTTTTTTATCTACTGCAGACAAGAGGTCTCGAGCAGTCCTTGTAAAGGAAGACTATTGTAAACTGTGAAACACACTCTTCCTTCCCCTGGAGATTCCGCTGGTGAAAACAATTCTGATATAGTTTCCTCCACTCAACTTCAGAGCTTCTGCTGAGAGAAGAATGAGCTTTTACCAGTAGGAAGCTCACAATTTGAAGCAGTGAATCTCCAGGAATGCATAAAGGATTTTTCTCCTCCTGGATCTGGAGAGGATGTAAACTGTTCTGGAATTGCTTATAATTCCTCTATGCCTGCGATTATAACAGCTGATCAATATTTTCAGAAAAGAAACTGACTGCCCTCTCAAAACATCATTTGTATTAGTTCAACACTTAACAAACCCCATGAAATTCTGCCCTGCTGTGATGGGCCGTGCAAACACCTTGTAAGTCCCACCTTCTTAGGAGACAGGCAATTACAGACAGGCTGGCAGACAGGAAATGTTTTCATTCCAATTTTCAGATGAGCAGCTGAGGCTAAAGAAATCAGTCCTGTCCTGATGTTCTGTAAGTCTGGCTGTAACGAATGAGGCTGGCCCGGGCCTGAGGTCACAGAATATGGCTGTAGAAAAGACAAGAGTTAAACTTGACTTTCCAGAGTTTCTTGATGGTTTGTCTGTGAATCTAGCTTTGCTAGATCACACCTGCTAGAAAGTACACCTCTCCCTGCAAATATTCAGTGTAGGGTTTTAATTCTCATTCTTAACATTAACTGATTTTTCCAAGCTTTCAAGGACGTCATTGCAGCTTCTAAGAAAGTCAATTTTGATAGTAACAGCTGACTGTGTACTACTTACTGTGTTCTCCTTCCTTTGATGGCTTCTCTTAATTGGTAGAGATTTATCAAGATATGGGTTCTCACACATGTTTTACTTTTTTGAATAAAGCAAGAGGTAGTCCTTGAAATTGCTTTATGCCTTTACCCAGTCTACCTGTTCTGCTGTAATATTTATCAGCAGCTCCAGGTGGAATAGAATGCTGATAGCTTAAGCTGTCAAGCTGTCAGCTGGTATTGAAAGGAATATCTTAACATAGTAACTCGCTTAGAAATAGGTTGATATATTTCCATTCTTAGTCACTTGTTATGCTGAATTCAAAGAGAATGTGTTATGCCTTGTCCCAGTTTTGAGGAAAATATCTGCTGAAGTATATTCCTTATACCTACTACGAGTATACCCTTCATGTGTCTACACTTGGAGATACCCTATAGATAGCCTATGTGCATCCATCAGGTAATGGATCCCATTTTCTGCATCATATGGTGTGGCAGTGTGCTGTCAAGACTGATGTGCATTGGATCTGTCATATCACTCACCATCCCTGAGGGGGTGGGTTAATAGAAAGTAATGCTTTTGAAACACCAAGTGAAAGTTCTCCTTCACTCAGACATGCTGAGAAACTGATTTACAGTGTGAAGCCACGCAGAGCTGTGATCCTGAATAAAAAAGTCCATGTTCAAACTCATACTGCTCATCAATTGCTGCTAGGACGCCAGCATCATGAAGTCCAATACAGTTTGTACCAGGATGATGCTGATGATAAGTAGGGATCTACAATATCCTGATTTGGAGGGGATCCATAAGGATCACTGAGCCCGACTCCTGGCTCCATGCAGAGCCACCCAAACATCAGACCACGTGGCTGAGAGCATTGTCCAGGCACTTCAACTCCTGCAAGCTCAATGTCAAGCCCCTTTCCCCTGGGGAGCCTGTTCCAGTGCCTGACCATCCTTTTGGTGAAGAACCTGTTCCCAGTAGCCAACATGAGCTTCCACTTAGTACTTCCTGGGGAAAAGACATCAACTAAGATCTTAGCTTGGGATCCAAGAGCCACTGAAAGGACAGGCTGAGCCTTCAAAATATGTGTTTCAACATGTACAGTATGAACTATAACTGCTTTACAGATCTGAAAGACAATGTCCTCTGTCTTCCTGTTGCTGACAACACTTGTTGAGACCTTTCATTGTTGAGCCCCGCTAAACCTTACCTGTAATGGTGAGTCTTTGTGGCTGGATACTAATTCAGCAACTGAACCATGTACTGGAGTCTTCAGGGTCACTGCCTACGTGGCTGTGGAACAAGGGGTGAGGTGACCCTAGTGGTCAGAGCACAAGGGAATAATGCCACTTCCAGTTGACCAGAAGTGGGACTGCTGGGGATTGTGGACCCTGCAACACATCTTAAGAATCATGCCTTTGCATAGGGTGGAGAACCAAGCATGTTCACCTATGCACAGCCTTCAGCAGTACATGCTTTATATCCAGAAGGACACATAAATGTATGGATAGCCCATAACCCCTCACTAACCAGCTATAGCACAGTGCCCATGACTACCCAGGTGTGTGCCTTCATACCACTGACACCCTGTGACTGCACTATGCAGTAGTGTAATTAATCAGTGTATACACAATCAATGTGGGTGGATTCAGTCTATGACTAGTATATTGTCTTGTCCACCTGAAATATTGTATGCACCTGGTAAGGAATTGTAACTATTGAGATGAGGATATTGGAACGTATTGTCCAAGGTCAAAGCTAAGTCCACATTCTGCACAATGTGCTGTGTCCCACAGGGAGGAGATTGACCAATGCTGCAATTTTAATCTTTACTCCGTGAACTAGTTAACCAGCTTTTAATTGTCAATGCCTTTCTTACTGAGATGCCAAAAGGACTGATAGCAGCTTGGTGCAAAACATTCTCCGAGGAGAAAAGTTGGAGTCTATTTAGACAACAAACTCTTTAACTTTCTCGCTCCTTTCTGATATCCTGGAATTGTGTGCTTCCGTCAGTAAAGCTGTAATCTACCATTTGGCAGCTTAGCAGCACAGCATGGGAGGGCTGATTGGCAAGGGGAAGCATCAAGCTTCATGTGTGAGGATGTGATCCTGGGGTTTTCCAAGAAATTTTTTTGTACGTGGAATTTCCCGTACTATGAACAACAGGCTGGCTGAGAGAATAAAAGGCTGTACTAAAGGCAAGGGAGACACAGTCCAGACACTTTGAGCTGAGTTTTATCTTCAAGTCTGTGTTCAGCAGCTCAGCAACAGAGAGCAGTCGCTGGGAAATATTACAGAGCACTTCTACAGCACCTGACCAATACAACTACAACCTGTGAGTATAAATTGACTGTTTTATTATATTCTATGTCTCAGCTAGAGGAAAACTGGAGAGAGAATTCTGTGCTAATGTTTTGGGTTTTTTTTTTAAGAGCTATTTAAATTTATAAGCTATCTTGACATTAAGAGCTGTTTTAAATGATTGATCTCGCAAGAATGGAAATCTTACTTAATTCTTCAGAATGATTCTTTAAAAGTATGCAGAGAAGATTGCTCAGGCAGCATTTTATATTGGATAGTAAAAAAAAAACGGTGTATATTCTCTACAAATGTGTTCCTTTGATCTTTCATAGCCCTCTGCTTAAAAGATAAAGAGAAGAGAAAGCTCTCAGAGAAATGAATTGCCTGTGGTTCCTATCTCTTCTTGCTTACGGTAAGTGTGTATGTGTCTGCAGAAAACTATTTGAGTGACAGTGTTAGTGTGCTTAGTTTTGAGTTTGGAATTAAACAGATATTTTTTAAATCTGACTGAATTAGCTTGGGGTCAGATTCACATAGAGAAAGCTGTAGCTGCAATGGCACTTTACCCTGATTGCCTGACAAAAGTGTAATTGGCTCCTGTGATGTGATATGAATTCTGCAGATCTTTGTATGAGTGGTAGTAGTGTGACAGGCTGAAGTTTCTGTACTTGATGGTGACTTGCCTGTTTTGAAACTTGTTGGTTAATTACTTGTAAAATAATTGCCACTAAATTTTGTTGCCGTTTCAGATATTAACAAATGTGCAGTGTTTAAAAGCTTTATGTATCCTTTCCTAGAGAAAGAGTTGGGGAAATGTCCAATACCAACTTTTTGCCATCTTTTCATTCTAGGGCTTACAATACTAGAGGTGGTGAATTGTTGGACATACCATTATTCAGACACAAACATGACCTACAAAGAGGCAGAGTTATGGTGCAAAAAGAGGTATACTAACATGGTTGCCATTCAAAACAAGGATGAAATCAACTATCTTAATGACTTCTTACCCTTCAATCCGGGTTACTACTGGATTGGAATCAGAAAAATTAATGGTACGTGGACCTGGGTTGGAACAAACAAAGAACTGACAGACGAAGCAGAAAATTGGGCTTCAGGTGAACCAAATGGCAAAGGGAACAACGAGGACTGTGTTGAAATCTACATCAAAAGAGGGAAGGATGACGGCAAATGGAATGATGAGAAGTGTGAAAAAAAAAAGGTTGCCTTGTGCTATACAGGTATAGTATCATAAAGTCCATTTCAGTGAGCCCCTGTGGAGATGAGATAGTGGGATGGGTTGTTTAACCTAGTTTTACATGCTGACTGCCCGACTCTGTGAACAACCTACACTTATCCTTACTCGCAGGGCTGAGATTGCTCTTTTTCTAAGAGCTAGATTGATCTCACTTACCTTTTAGCCCCCAGACTATAATACATCTTTTCTAAGCAAGCCATCAGGCTCTATAATCAGTGGAGGGAAAATGGCTCTTTCAAAAGTTGGCTTTCATCAAGTAATTGTCTGAGCTAGATAAGAATTGTCCTTTTGAAGGTGTCTATCTCTCTGCTGACTACAGAGCATTGGGTTAAATCTAACATCATGTATATATACTATACACTCTATATAGAGATTACTAAGGCTAGTAAAAAAAATCTAAGTCAAATATCTGCCAATTCAGAGCTGAGGTAAGGAAGAATGTCTCTGCTGAAGTTTTCTACCTACCTCACACATATTGTTCCTTTTGCATTTTAAATATTACTAATATCTACCTGAGAGCAAGTGGTCTTAGAGTTTCCCTTGGAATCCTTTCATTGTGAGCTAGTCTGTCAAAGGAATTGATTTCTGAAATGCTTCTGTAAAATGGCAGAGTTAACTAATATAACAAAATTTCCTGCATTTCTTTTGCCTCACAAACTGCTTCTTTAGTGACAGAAAGATGAATGATGCACAGACCAGATTTAATTAGTGGTCAGTGCTGATTCTTTTATTTGATGGACTTCTTTTTTTTTTTTTTTTCTTCAGCTTCTTGCAACCCATCTTTCTGCAGTGGCCGTGGAGAATGCATAGAGACCATTAACAATCACACCTGCCAGTGTAACCCTGGATTCTATGGGCCAGATTGTGAATTTGGTAAGATTACTACATCCTTCTTTCCAACCAGGGAGACGGTCATGCTAGCTTAGTTCTGTTTGTCTGGCTTGATTTGCCTGCTTAACCAAAGAGACTGACTATGTACCTTCTTGTGTTTCTTTGAAGTTAAGACTTGTGATCCACTAAAGAAACCTGATCACGGCAGCCTTGAGTGCAACCATCCATTGGAGGACTTCGGCTATAACTCCTCATGCACAGCTCAGTGTGAAGAAGGCTATGAGCTGAATGGACTGGAGTCAGTATACTGTATGTCTTCTGGAAACTGGTCTGACACACTTGCATCATGCAAAGGTGAGCTTGTCAAGCAATGGTAGATGAGATTTCTGCATTAGACATAGCAGCACTGAAGTCTGCAGAACTCTATTAATGGATACAAACTGAAATTCTAGCCTATATCTAAACCTATATCTGTTTCTATGCATTAGGTATGTTACTAAGTTTCAGGAAAGAAAAAATGCTTTTTTAAAGATTATCCCAAGCTAATGTCTGTGCTGTTTTTTATGCTTTCAGCTGTGACCTGCCCTGCTTTAGAAATGCCTGCTCATGGCTCTCTCAACTGCTCCCATCCCTCTGGGGAGCTTCCCTGGGGTACCACCTGTGAGTTCACCTGTGAGGAAGGATTTGCTCTGACAGGACCATCCACTCTGCAGTGTGGATCTTCTGGGGCCTGGGACAAGCAGCAGCCATCCTGTGCAGGTACGTTTTTCCATGCCTGCCTGAGCCCTTGGGGCTATCAGCTTTGATTGGCATGTTGAATTCCTGAGACCTCTGAGCTGACTGCTGTTGTGATGTGTGCGTTGCAGCTGTGAGGTGTGAGGCTGTAACCTGGCCAGAAGAAGGTTCTGTGAGCTGTGCTTCTGCAGATCTCACCTATGGTTCACACTGTGATTTCCATTGTCGAGAGGGCTACGTTTTGGAGGGCCCATCCAGCATTAAGTGCATGGCACAGGGACAGTGGTCAGAGCCATTCCCAAAATGCAAAGGTGAGATTTTTGGGGTTAGAAATCATCTGTTAAACTTAACACTAGCTCAAATAGTCTGAAGAGACTGAATAATTCAAGTGTTGTCAAATAATAACAATCATCTCTGGTAGGCTTATAGTATTTCTCTTAAAGGGGTTTCAAGACAAAGATCACATATCCTGCTGTATTAAAGTGGTAATAGCAATGCAAGTTGAGAAACTACACTTGGGAGCTGTACTCCCAGCAGAAGTCGTAACAGACCGTTGAAGTGGGGTGTTCTGACCTGCTCCAAACTCTGCATCTTCAAATGGGAGTTCACACCCCCAAAATGCACCTCATAATCTGAGCCAGTATTAGGAACAGCTTGTGTGCTTTAAATACATATTTAAGTGTTCTGGCTCCACAGTGCAGCATGCTGTAATTCCTGTTTCCTGAGACACTGCTAGGGGTAAAGGGCAGTACTATGGCTCTGTAGGGGAGAGCTCCAGGCAGGACACAACCTCTTGCCATCTGAAAGAGGAGCATTTATTCTGACCTACTCCAAGCTAATGTCTGTGCTGTTTTTTATGCTTTCAGCTGTGACCTGCCCTGCTTTAGAAATGCCTGCTCATGGTTCTCTCAACTGCTCCCATCCCTCTGGGGAGCTTCCCTGGGGTACCACCTGTGAGTTCACCTGTGAGGAAGGATTTGCTCTGACAGGACCATCCACTCTGCAGTGTGGATCTTCTGGGGCCTGGGACAAGCAGCAGCCATCCTGTGCAGGTATGTTTTTCCATGCCTGCCTGAGCCCTTGGGGCTATCAGCTTTGATTGGCATGTTGAATTCCTGAGACCTCTGAGCTGACTGCTGTTGTGATGTGTGCGTTGCAGCTGTGAGGTGTGAGGCTGTAACCTGGCCAGAAGAAGGTTCTGTGAGCTGTGCTTCTGCAGATCTCACCTATGGTTCACACTGTGATTTCCGTTGTCGAGAGGGCTACGTTTTGGAGGGCCCATCCAGCATTAAGTGCATGGCACAGGGACAGTGGTCAGACCTGTTCCCAAAATGCAAAGGTGAGATTTTTGGGGTTGGAAAATGTTTTCTTGTTACTGTGCAATACTCTGAAATCCTATACCTGAGAGTACAGGTTCAATTCAATAAATATCCAGCACTGATTCAATGCACAACGTGATATCATGGCCTCGGTAGAGGTTAGTTCTTGGCAGGATATCCCTTCTTGTCAGCTAAAAGAGGAGTATGTCATTCTGACCTGCTCCAAGCTAGTGTATGTGCTATCTCTAATGCTTTCAGTTCTGATGTGCCCTGTTTTCAGAATACCTGCTCATGGCTTTCTGAACTCCCTTCACCCCACATCCAAATGATTTTGAACATACAGTGTACATTTACTAGTGCAAACAGTAGGGTCAAAGATAGGAAAGGTGTTTATGTCTCAACCATTTTTTTTCTTTATTTCAGTTGTACAATGTGAACCACTGAAGTCTCCTGAGAAAGGCTCCATGGATTGCATACATGGTGCTGGGAACTTCACATATGACACAGCCTGCCACTTCAGCTGCCTGGAAGGATGGAATCTCAGTGGTTCTCGTGTTCTTGAGTGCAGTCTTTCAGGAACCTGGAGTGCCAGTCTGCCCACATGTGAAGGTATTCTATCTGTGACTAGCCAGAAAAAGATCTCACTAGGTTCCTGGCCAAAATAGGAGGTATGGAAGGGTAGAGGGGATAACAGCAAGCAGTGAGTTAGAACTTGTTGTGCAGCCCACAAAGGAAGAAACCTAAGGAAATCTCTGAACATGATCCTTGAAAATAAGAGGGAACATTCCTGATGGGTCTTGATGGGAAGCCTTGATTTCTTATCAAAACCAAAAGCCTCAACCTGACTTTAGGCATTTTTTTGTATGTTCTTAACAAAAATATTTCTCATGCTGAGCTGTTTCCGTGTTAATAAAGAGCTTTTCTAGAGAAGTAGAACATTAAAGAAAAATGTGCATAAATCAGTTTGCTTCTCAGTAAAAGAAGTTTGTAGATTTATAAATCTGATGTGATAGCTTCTTCAGTGAGCTCCTCACAGAGCTTTCCTGTGAAAGGCTGTAAATTTACAGGGCAAAAGTCTCCCTTTCCATCCAAGATAGTAAGAGCTCTTCCCCTGTCATGTAGGAACATGATTGGTTTGCCTGATGTGCCTTTGCTGTAGGTCCCAAGAGCTCAACTTCACTCTATTTGGCTAGAATTCAGATCCTTGAATAATTTCATTGATTTCAGTCAGACTCTCAAAGAGGAGGAAACCACATGCCTCTTGATCTCACTGCAGCTGTTTTTCTTCTTTCAGCTTCTCAACAAGTTGGCTATGTCACTGTGGGCATAGCAGCCACCACTACCTCTCTGCTTGCCACAGCATCATTCCTCTTTTGGCTTGCAAAACGGTTACGAAGCAAAGGTGAGCCATTGGACTGTTTCCATTAATTTTATTTACCTTCCTGAAATTTGTTTAGTGGGAAGGAAAAACCTCCAGATCTCAAACAGTTGCCTTTTGAAAAAGTGAAAATATTCACATAAACAAATTCCAGTGTTACTTTCAGGAAGCCTGCATGTGTGACATGTTTGGTTTTATGATAAACATTTAAAAATCTGAAAGAGTTAAAAAATAAGTAAGAAAACAAGAATTAGAGGTGAAAAAGCCAATGGTTATTCATCAGTAATTACTGCCAGGGAAAGTGAACGGGAGTTTGAGTTGGGGCTAATGACAATACAGTAATAACTAGCTGTGAGATTTCTGTTGCTAGATGAATGGTTTTTTATTAAATATTCAGATAAGATTTTTTAATAGGAAGAAAAGTTTGCAAGATTGGGCTTTCATCTTGAAATGCTAATATTTTTTTCTTTTTCTTCTTGCAGTAAAGAAATTCACTCCTGCCAGGTAAGTTGTGTCTCAAAAAGCAGCATGAAAAGCATTGTAATCATTTTGCTCAAATCCAGTAGGTATAGAACAGTTGTCACTAAAGTACTTTTCATTTCTGTTCTTACAGCAGCTGTCAGCACCTCACTACTGAAAGCCAGAATGTCTAGCTCCAGGTGTTTCAGGTAAGCACATGAGATAGGTGCATTCCCAAATTCTCTTCCTTCTAATCACAGAAGTAATCAGAGCCTACTAATTGCTACACACTTGCAAAAATAGCAATGTACGCTTTGTGGTACCTACCATGACTTTTACCACTGCACCAAAGTTCCTAAGGAAACTGATAGATTTATTGATTTAGAAATTGTCATTCAGCTCCTAAGGGATTATTGTGCTATGCTGTCTGTCTAGCTGTATATAATATTAGGAACACTTTGGTACATTTTTGCTTCATGTTGCATACAAAATTCCTCTGACGTGACAGCAAGTACAAATCTGTGCCAATTTTTCCAATTTATAGAGGAATGTTCTTCTCTCCGCAGGAATTGAAGCCATCTTTGCTCATGTCTCAGAGATTTTCAGGAAATGAAACTCCATGCAGATCAACAGCTGACCAGATGTTTTTACCTCTTGCTGACAAGATGATTCACCTTGTGTATTGCTCAAATTTTGAACTCAAGCTGTCTGGTATTTCCATAGAAGACTAACAAGCAGAGAGCAAAACTCTGGCCTTCTGGCAAAACGCTGTCTACATTCAGTCATGTAGTTATCATAACTGGGAGCTTGCCATGTCTTGTCCAGATGGTGAGCAAATAGTAAGCTGCTGGCTAAGGAGGAGGCTGGTTTCTCCTCTGGTCTACTAGGTGAGGTACCTGGGTGAGGTGAAGACATGCATTATTTCACATCACTTACTACACTGCTGGAGATGTCTCCTCTGGAGACATATGGGTTATGCTGGCAGAAACAAAGTAATTGGGGTTAAAAACATTCTCAATTGCTTTGAAGCCATTGATCTGGCTTATTGTTGAAGTCATTTTATTTTAAGATGTTCCCATATGCCTGAAGTGACATAGGCAATTATCTGGGTTTCTGCTGCATGTTCCAGAAAGCCTTTGGACTTTACTTTTTGTTGATGGCACTGGGAATGATAGTGCTTGTACTAGGTACTCTGGTTTCTGAATGCAGCAAGTAGGTGGGAAGTTCTCATCCCCATGGGATTGTGCACTGTAATACAGATGTGTGGATGTAAATATTTAATTTGCTGTGTAATTTTTACCGAGGGATTTCTGTGCTGTTAATGGCAACTATATTTAAAACACCTGATCCTGATCTGGGCCCAGAACCTTTTAAAAATGAGTCAGAAATATGCAGGCATGTAATCTTAATGAACATAATTTACAGATAAAATAGAAGCCTCGGGTTTTTATATATGTTGCATGTATGAACTATTGTGCTGTTAAAGGACTTCAAATGAGAGTCTTAATTTATGTGTAAGTTATAAATTAATCATCTCTGCTAGACTTAGAATCTGATGTGTACTGTTCTATTTGTAGCAGTATTTAATAAAATGTTTTAAAGAGAATGCTCCCTTTCTGAAAATGTCCATCTTTTAAATGTGCCCTGTGGATATGACTTCAGCAGCAGAAAGTCAAGGTGTGGGGGAAGATGGTTAAATTGTAAGACTGGAGGCTTGTACTTAGCTTTTCATGTCTTCGTAGAACTCAGGGAAAGTGCAGCCAGCAGATGGCACTGACTACCTGGGAGCCAGCACAGCCGTAGCTGGACTCAAAACCAACATTTCTGGTCCTGAAAGGAAGAAAGGTCAGCATTGTATCCCATAAAGAAAGTGCTTGGAACAGCAGTGAGCTTCGAGACATGCATGCTCAGGAAGGAGAGGAGAGCAGAAGGAAAAGCAAGTGGGTGACCTTGGTGCACAGTTAACAGCATGAACCACTTAGCTCATACAGGCCTTTTGCAGCCTATTCTGCTGGGAAGTTAGCGAAGGGCTGGGAAAGCATGGGCTAGCAGGTGAAAGCACAGCACTGGGGACCTGAGGTGACTGATTTCCTTCACTACACCCATTCTGTCTTGGGCTGTAACAAACACTGCCCTAGGGTAGTGATGGCCAGCTGCTGTATCGGCCCTTTCCCAGCCCTTGACACATCCAAGGAAGCTGCATTGTGGCTCCAGCCCTAGGCAAGGCTCAAAAGAAGCCATCAGGCCAGCTAGCAAAGATAGTCAGAGGTTGCTGCACCAAGATGAACAGGGTCCACTGCTGTTTATCCCAAACCGATTAACAAACCGAGAGCGGCTGCCAGTGCTTCCCCCCGCCTTGACAAGGTGGGGCCCAACCGTGTGAGCAGATGTAGAGCAGTAATCCTTCAGGTTCCCTGAGGGGATGTAGAGATTAGCCCGAAACGCCCTGCTCTGAATCCCTGCAGGAGCTGTTTTGAGAGCTAAACCACCACATGGGTCTCCCAGCCTGTCCTTGTTGTTGTCCTCTACATGCACAGTCCTGTAGCATCCTCTGGAGACAGCTGCTCAGGCCACCATGGCTCCTGCCATTCAATCAGGGGAGCCCAGCTTCTCTCCCAGGAGCTGACTGGAGCAAGTACTGCTAGCAGCTTTACTTCTCTGGGATCTTATAGGACTTGCACTGTTTTTTCCTGCTTCAGGACACAAATTGAGGGACATGGTTTCTTGGGCATGGTGGTGATGGCTTAGTGTTAGGGCTAGATGCTCTTAGTGGCTTTTTCCAACCTGAATGATCCTATGAAATTATCAACTGTGATGTTATGGCATGTCCAGGCCAATAAGATCTTCAGAGAGTGTAATGAACACATCCCTGTCATGGTGACCATGAATGCAGAATTCTGTTGCTTTGATGTCTGTTTGGATCCTGCTCTGGCCAGAGTGGCTGTGGGAATATTTGCTGTAAGATGCTCTCTAAATACCTCTGTTGTATTGCTCTCATCACTATGGGACCACCAAAGCTCCACATATTCTTTGCTGGAGGAACTTTCCTTATCTCCTGTTCTATTTCCCTTAAATTCCTCGGTTCTCAGTTGGGCCCATGGCAGTATAAGCCCTGCCCACATTGGGATTGTGCCTTTTATTTTCATAAGCAATTAGCCATCAAACAAGCACTCATTTACTAGGGCCTGGCTGAAGCTGCTTTCCACAGTTCCAATTTACAAGGGTTGGACCGGACCCAGCATTTGGCCAGCAGTTCTTAGCTCACAAAGGTAGGTCACTGCTACAGGCTCTGGAAGCTGCCAGTCTTTGCAGCTCCTCGCGTGCTTTGCAGAGGACTGGCAGCAGGAACTCTAAAGCTCTTGCAGGAGTTAGAGTCATGATCAAATCACTCACCTGCCCAGCTCCTGCTCTGGGAGCTGTCAGAGGGTATTAGGGCCGGGATGCCAGACTGTGACATGCAATGTCCGTGCTACGTGATGTGTTCAAGCCCCTTGTGAGTCTGTTTTCTGTCCCAAGTCTTGCTCCTGTTTGCATTCCTCTGGTTTTTGCAGGGAGACTGGCTGCTGCTTCCTGGCCTGAGCCTGCTGCAAATGTGCAGCTGCTGGTGGGTACCCTGTGAGAGGTCTTCAGCCCAGGGGAGAAGGGTGCTACGGTGAGTGCTAAAGCTGTTGGTTAGGGACAGGTAATACAACGTGGTCTTGCCCACAGGCTGGCAGGCCAACCTCCTGTTGGTATTAGGCAGAAAAAGCTTAGCAGAGGGCAGAACAGACACAGGTATCACAGTCCAGCCTCCAACATTTGCACAGTCATATTATGGGGCTCCCTATCTCAGTTTATGGCCTTTCACATGCACGCCTCTAGGGTGAAACAAGAAAAAATTGCAGGTTAAATTTAGCCAGCGGAGTCAAAATTGGTAGGTGGTTATTGCTGCTCACCTGGTGCTGTTAAATCTTGCCTAGGAGAGAGGCAGACCTGGCCAGCACAGTTGAGCTGTGGCTCCAGTGATAAGAAAGAAATCCACTGCCCAGCAAGTGCTTGCACAGCTGATGATGGCCGATGCTTTCTCCAGCTCAGGAATACTGCCAAGACCAGGGCAAAAAAAGCACAAATGCCTCCTCAGCAAGGCAACAGATGCCCCCAGGCAGCTGCCAGCAGGTTTTCTACCTGCCTTCCCACTTCAGGAAAGGACGTTCCTTGAAAGGCCCAACAGTTGCTTTGACTTTCAGCCTGGGCCAAGTGGGACCTTCATCAGCTTCTCGCCTCACCAGCTGCCACAAAGGCAACGAAGGCAGGTGTGAAATTGCAGGTGACTTGCTTGCTTCTGGCACTCCAGTGCTGTCATTTTGGGCTTCTGACAGCCTTTGAGTGGGCAGGAGGAGGGAGCCTGCTGGAGCAGGCTTGTGTCATGGAATACTTGGGTGGAAGGTAAAGGGTTAAAAGGAAGACAGGAAACACTGCATTCAGGGCTTATTCCACAGTGCGATTTCTGGGAAAGGAGGGGCTGCAATCAGGCAGGATGTTTTCTCTTTGGGATCTTGGGAAATCGAGCCCAGCCTGACCTACACCGGGAGGGAAACAGAGCACAGCCAACGCTGCACGAAACAGTGACGTCCCCCTTCATCTTATCTCATATCAGCCCAAACAACTCAGATAACATACAAATCAGACATGGTGAAAGGCTGGGCTCACTTGGGTAATGAAATGTGCCAAAGGGAAATGATACTATTTTAGCCAAAATGACAGCAAGCGTAGTTCTAGAAAGTCCTATCCTAAGAGAGACAGCCCTATCCCATCCTCACTGCTCTCCTTTCCCATTCCTTGCTGCAGCTGATGCCAATGTGGCTGCAGTGGAAGAACAGAGTAAACCCTTGCTACTTTACACTGACTCTTTTTTGACCAAGACACAACTGTTGGAAGCAACCAGATGGAATACATGATATCATTTTCACCCCTTGGCAAAGGCTGAATTATCAAACTTATAGAATGCCTGCAGGTTTGGTGGGGGTAGGGTCTGAGCAGGGCTCACAGACCCTCACCATGTTCCTTTGGAGGGACAGCAGCAGTTTGCATTCCACGGGTAATTGGCAAAGCCACTGTGCATTTTGCATGCACTGCTCAGACATCCTCTTCATGCAGAGCATACTCAGGTTGGTGGTTCATTTGAATCCAAGCCAGGCCAGCTGTTCACCTGAATGCATTTATCACGCTGCTCCTTTGAACTAGGGCAGGTAGATAGCACTGCTGGGGTCAGTACAGATCAATCTGCTTCATTTTCTTTTCCCTCTGTTAGCTTTTCTTCACAAATATTCAGCACTATTTCATTACCCAGTTGGAGCAGAGGGTGTAAGTTTTGCTCAGAGTGGTGTAAAATCCCACCTGATATGCCAGAAGGTTAAAAACTCCACGTCTTCCCTCATACTGACTTTAAAATCCAGTTTTTAAAACCCAATTGAGGTAAATGCAGCAACTGCAATTACTAAGAAACAAGCACCTCACTCCTTGAAGTCATTCTGAGTGCAAAGAGCACTGTTTTACCCAGACTGCAGGCAGCATTTGCTCAGTTTGGCTGCGTTGAGGCCATGGGCGGTTCCTTTCAGTGCTCATGAGTATTTCAGATGCTGCCAAAGGAAGCTCATAACGTGCAAATGTTCCTGTGTGCACACGAATGGCAGGCTGGCCCGTGTTTCTCTTTTGTCACTTTTACTTCCTGTTTCCTTGCAGATTTCGGTTCTTGCCTCATTAAATGGTGAACGACCCGTCACAGCATCCTTCCCTGTGTGCTGCCTTGAAGGTCAGTGTTTTGGCCATGGAAACTGGTGACAGCTCTGGGGACTTTTAAAGCACTTTATTCATGTTCTTTAGCAGGAGGCGGGAATGGTTACAAATGGCAGATACTCTCTGCTTTCATGTTAGCATTGAAGCCTAGCTCCAGAAAGTGATCTGCCTCTGAGAAATAGTAGAATCATTAAGGTGGAAAAGACCACCTAGTCCAACCATCAACACATCTCCACCATGCCCAGTGTAGCAGAAATGCTAAGTCACAGCCTGATGCAGTGATTGAACACCTGGTGGGAAGACAGGGCCCACTCAGGGGAGCTCAGGTGTGTGCAGTGCACCCAAGTGATGGAAGGGCTGGAGCCAGACCTCATTTAAGATTTGGCTGTGGAATGAAGGTTTTTTGTTTGTTTGTTTGTTTGTTTCCTTCTGGAGATTTCTATGTATCTGAAGCCTCCTGAAGGTAAGCAGATTCTTTCCTTTATTTCTGTACTCACAGCTGTTGTGTTTGAGCAAGTCCTCATTTGCTGCATCCTAGGACTTTGCTACTCTGTTGTCATTGCAATGCTTTCCATTGCCTTACACCCACTGACTGTGCCCCCTGGTGCCACATCCACACTTGTGGGCAGTGGAAATGCTCTGGGGAAGGATGGACTGTCTGTCTTAAAAATGTTTTGGGAATATGGACTTCTCTAGTCTTTATAATAAGCAAAGCTAGTTCTGAAGAGTAGCTTTTTCTCTGAGCTTGTACCTGGGGAAAGAACTTGTCAGAGCATCCTAAGAAATGAGATTTGAGGGGCTCTGAAAAGTCACCTACTCCAAAGCCCTGCTCCTGGCTGAGTGATGGCACTGCAGGTAGAAGCTGACATTGTGCACTGTGACTTTATGCAAAAATCAGGGGCTGAGTGGGACCAGAGCAGCTGCAGGGATGCTCCAAGGAATTCTAGCAACCTGGATCCGTGGCTCCTGGATAGTTGGAGCAATTTGGTGTCTGAAACTCTGGCTCTTTCAGAAATCCCAGTCTATGTCTATTTGCTCCGTTGGCTTGAAGGGATGAGCACTAGTTTTATTTTTCAGTAGCACTGATGGCTAAATCTGAGCAACTTCTGCCTCCACATTATGCCAGCAATCTGTATCAGTCCTCCTTCTGCTCCTGTGTCTGGTGCAGGCAAATCTGTGCCGTTGAGGCCTTTGGATGCTCTGGGAACAGGTGCAGTATGGCTCTCAAAGAACAACAGATCAGAAAACATATGGGACAGCTCCAGCTCTTCATTAACCTAATTGCTATAGCTTCCACCAAGGTCTGCATGTTTGCCTCGCGTGTTGCTTCCGGTGCAGGCAAACACGGTCTGTGACAGAGTGCAGACACAGTAATGCTATCAGCTGCCTCTTCCTTCCTAGAAGGGGCCCAGCTGTCCAGATCACCTCCATAAAACCTAGTCAGGGGCTCATGCCTAAGATGTGCTGCCCTAGAGATGTTGTAGGCATCTCTGAGGAGGCCAAGGGGGTGAGAGATGGGGTTTGAAATCAGTGGTTTGGCCTGCCTGCCCACCCTCCATCTGATGCTGATTGCTGCTGCAGGGGCTACTAGTCAATCCAGCTGCAGGTGGCTGGCTGATAAGTGGGTTGAGCCAGCACACCTGCATCCTTCATGGCAGGGTGAAACCAATAGATGTTTATAGGAAGAGACTGTAGGGAACCTTCCAAATGCTCTTTGGTTGAAGAGCATAACTGGGTTGTAGGGGATTCCTCAGGACTGTAGAACAATGAGAAGGAGAATCAACCATCTTTCCTAACCTCTTTTAGTGCTCAGATAATAGCAAGTCTTGCTTTAAAGAATCATTCCTTCACACTGGGAGCGTCTGGAGGGAAAAAAAAAACAACAACAAAACAGCGCTCCCAACTTAAAGATTTGTCTTTTTGTGACACTGAAATGCAAATAAAGCTGCATTTCTAAAAAAAGCTACAGTAACCTCAGGGTTGCCTGAAGTTCAGATGTGTCCTGCAATGAAAAAATCCTTACGTTGTGCTCCAGACTGACATTTGAAATGAGTTGTCCAGATGCAGCCCAGCCAGCTGGCCCACACTTAGCAAGGGAGCAGCTCTTTCCACCGACGTGCTCCACTCCAGCAGAGCCTGGATGCTCTCTGCAGCTCGGCAACCTGAAGCACAACAGAAGGGGCTGCCTGAGAGGTGCAGAGATGCTAGTGAGAGATGAGGGAGAATGCAATATCTGATGTGGGCACATCTTGTCTGGCCAGCCAAGCCAAATGTTTGTCACCTTTGGAATCGCTGTGCTGCCCAAAAAGCAAAACAGACGTGTAGTAGTGTTGGCAATCTCTGTAGGAACCTCCTGTCTGCCAGATTCCCTCTCCCTGCCCTCCCGGCAGGTGCCAGCTGGGTTTTCGCTTTCTTTCATCCTAGGATCATGTTTCATCAAAGCAAACACAGCCAGGGGACCTGGAGCTCAAAGGCTTACTAAAATTAGGCCTGATCTTAGGTCCTGTTTGCAAATTGTTTTTGGGCCTGGTGGCATCTGACGTACAAAGGGGCTAAAATCAGAGTTTGCAAGTCCTAAGTGCAGCTATGTTCATGTTATTGTTTGCGAAGTCCTTTGGGGCTGCTGCTGTGGGCCTGTTAGAATGAAATAGCAGCGTATGGGCAGATCAAAGAGACCCTGTCAAATAGATTTCGACACAGACGAGCAGCCCATGCTATCAGATGGGCTGACAAAGGAGGGACAAGCACCGAAGCACTGATGTTGATACAATCCAACCATGCTCACATGGGGCTGTGGCTCAGTACAGGAGTCAGGCAGGTTCACAATGGAGTCTGGATTTCCTGCAAAAACAGCCAATGGACAAGTTGTGAAGTCGCATTTGAGTTAATGGGGCTGAAACAAATCTTTGAAGTTGGGTGGAGTGTTTCAAGTTTGAGTGGATCTGGATCTTGCTGAAGCTTCCCTTCCTACTGCAGCTACTTTAAAAAAATTTAAAAAAATAATTTAAAAAAACAATAGTTAAGAAGGAACAACTATGAAGAGCAGCTCAAAGCACGCAACTGGAATTGGTGTTTGGAATTACGGTATGAAATGTCTTCAAAAAGGTGATGAATAAGCAAAGAGAAGGAAGGAGGGAATGTGAAAAGTATGTTTTGTGCCTGTTTTATTTATTTACTTATTTTTCTCTCCACATTATCCTGTGTATTTTTGAACGAAGAGGAAGCATTGATGTCAGGTCTCTGGTTTGGCTGTGACTGCCAAGCATGCTGCCTTGGGAATCAGTGCCCATTAGCAATGCTGTCCTCACGTCTTGGTATGCCAACTCTGCTCATCCCTAGTGTAGAATACCATCCCTTAGGTGCTGATCTGAAATAGCAAACCATCCCAGCTGTAGTCTACAGTATGGGTGATAATTTTGTTCCAGGTCAAGTCTTCATGAAACACTTGGATAGTTGGAGTGTTCCACCAGTCCCATGCCCAGCCTGCAGAACAGCCTTCTAAATTGCATGAGCGAAGAGGGAGATGTTGTACCTATTTTGTAGCAACCAGTGTTTTACCTACCATACAATGTCCCCATGTACTGTAGCTTGTACAAAGGAAGGAATGTATGGGGTGTGTTGTGCCCCGGGTCAGGGATGGAGCTCAGGTCTGGTATCCTGGTGGGAGCAGGAAGGGTGCAAAGTGAAAATAAACAAAGGGAGGTAATTTTCCTCTCTCCATTCACCTGCTCTCCCAGCACCTCCATCTGGACCCTTGGGAAATGTGCAGGTGGCAGCTCTGGCATGGGAGAAGGGCTGGGTTTCAAAAAAGGTTGACCCCAAACCCAACAGCCTAAACTACACCTGGCGACCAATTTGAAATCAGGACTAAGGGATGCACTTTCAGGAAGCTTTGCGAGGCATACTGTTATTGCAGTATCTGTCTATAAAGATCTACAGGCTCTCAGCTGACAAACAAACAACAGCATTTTTTTCCTCCTAATAAGGTTTCCTTAGAAATGGATCCACTGCTGAATCCTGAGTCTGCCTGGCATATTCCGGGGGACATCTGGCATAAATTCTTCATTATTAGATTACATTAGTTGCAGCAATAATCATTCACATGGGATTATTACATCCAAGCTTGTCTCGTTGCCTTTATCCTTTCACACATTGTCTTTCCTGGTTCCCCTTCAAAGGGCTGTTGTGAGCCTGTGTCAGAGCAAGAAATTAACTCGTTAGTAATTTATGCATCATTTCCTCCAGCCACGTGTATTTAGGGCAAGATCAATAAAATATAATAAGGAAGCGGGTGGGTATTGTCACTGTGGGGCTGAAATAATTCCTTTGGTATCACTGTAAATCCTTCCCTCCCGTATGAAAACCTGCAGTCCTGTCCATCATTAGCTTATTTTGCTGGGCTGTAGCAACAGGACATCGATTCAGCTCCTTTGTGCACTGGCAGAGTTCATGTCCTGCCACTTCTGCTCAGAGCTCTCGGAGCAAAGGTTTTGGTTTTTGGAGGAGCAGTGTTTCATAGCCTTTCTGCTGGCTCCAGCCGTGTAATTAAAGCTGTGCCACCTAACACTGCAGTCTGATTTCTGGAGCGGCTCCACGCCCTGGCATCTGCTGTGATGTGTTTGGTCTGAGAAAGGGAGAGGGAATGCAGGAGGGATGTGAGCACTGCAGCTTACGGCACAGAAATCTTGGTTGTGGGATGTAAAGAAGCAAATCTGAGATGCATTGAACTAGCAAAGTTCTGTTTGATGATCTGAGGGCCCGGCAGTGATTGAGAGGCATCAGTTCCTCAAAGCCTCTAGCAGGATATGTCTCAAGATTGCTTTGCACTCCAGGACCTGTATGTTTTGTTGCCTTAAACATGGAGCAATTCAGGAGAAGAAGATGTTCAGAAACCCCTCGTGGGTCTGACTCATCCCCAGAGGAGCCCTGCTGGTGCAGGGTGCTGGGCTGGGTAGCGCATGGAGTACAGGATGGGACAGCAGGCGGTGCAGTCTTGCCCTCCCCCAACCCCAGTGATGTTGACACAGGCTGGAGTGGAGTGCAAGGAGATGAGTTCCTGAGATTATCAGTGCAGACAGGGAGAGGAATGTTGTTTGCTTGTAGCTCCTCTCCATCAGGACTGGCAAAATCCAAACACAGAGGGGAGATGCTGGTGGACACCTACGCATGGTCTGAGTGTAATGGAGATAAGCAGGCACAGGGATGAAGCCAGGGGATCTGACTGCAGCACAAGACAAATGGATTGCAGCACAGGCTGGCTGCCTTCTGAAAGCCTGCTGCAGACACAGGTCTGTCCAGGTCACTCACATGCAGACAAGGATGTTTCTCCTCATCACCTGCCCCCCAGGCACTGAGACAGCTTCACTGAGGACAAAGCTGGCTCTGCTTGGTCTCCACTGGACTCCAGCAGGGATGTGGCTAATGCTGTGTCCTTCCTAATGGCAAATGTTGTTGTAGAGCAGGTATGTTCACAGGCAAGAGAAAAAAGGCCAACTGGCAGAGAGAAAGCAAGAGAGGAGGAGGAAAGCTGAGCTGAGGGTGCTTGTGATGGGATGACTGTTATTTTGTGTGGTTTGGTTCCATCAGGAGCCCGGGTTAGAATCATAAAGGTTGTAAAAGACCTCTAGATCATCTAGCCTGTGTGGCCAGCCCTCCCCCCAGCATTGCAACACCTCAAAGGGACAGGAGCCCAAAGAGCAAACACAGGAAACCCCAGCCCTGGTCAAGGTCTGGGAGGTAAATTTGTAACTTGGGACAGATTGTGAGGATGCTGCTGTGTAATGCACAGGCACTCCTTTCTCTCTGATCCTCTCCTTCTCCAGCAGCCTGGTGTGGATGGGAGAGCTGATCCCAAAACTCCTTTCATGGTTGAGTCTTCTGAAGAGACAGGACGTGGGTTGGAAATGCAGCCAGGCATGCAGGCTCCTTATTCCCTGGAGATGGGCTCCTTCCCTCACTTCTGTAAGTCCTTGCTTTGTACTCAGATGAGTCTGCTGTGCACTGGGTACATATAGAGAGGGGTGGTAGGACACCAAGAGCTGTAGTGCTTGCCCAGCCCCGTGGCCATGCACCAGCCCAGGGATTGGAAAAGGGGCTGTGCTTAGGGGTGAGGGATGCAACGGCTCATACTAAAGGAGTTCTGGGGATTGGTTCATGAAAGGGTTACACATAGCTGTGATATTTCTATTTATTCTTTTAATGGAATGGCATATCTTACTGGATAAATATTGATTTTTGTTAAAAGGATTCACTGTGTGTGTGCATAAATGCATATACTTGCACATACATGTGTAAGGTGGGAGAGAATTCCACTGAAAGCTGTTGAAGTGGTCCAATTCATTTCAGATCTACTTGAAATTCGTGATCCTTGAGGTTCCTTGCAACTCGGGCCATTCTGTGTTTTGAACTGTACACGTATTTCTAAGTCACATGTGATTTAAAATGGCATCTTCTCTTGTTGCTGCCTTGGTAAATGTATGTCGCATACTGGGCACGTTGGTGATGGGTTGATGGTTGGACTTGATGATCTTAACAGCCTTTTTCCAATCTTAATCATCCTATATCGATATCAAATTTGATTAGCATCTGATGATCCATTATTGGGCTGATTCCTGTCTATCAGGTAAACCAGTGCTGGAATTGATTTTCCTGGCAGTTAATTATGGCTGCAGCAGTCAGTGGAGGCATCATTTCAGCCCAAGATTATGGGAGTAATTCCATTTCTTGACAGGGGTGCATGGACATGAAGGACAGAGAGATATCTGAGGCTCAGAGTCCTGAAGAGCTGATGTGATCTGCAAGATCCAGAAGGGCTTCCATCCCACTGGTCTGCTCTCATCTCCTGGGACAAAGGATTGCTGCCTGGTGCCAGTTCCAGGCTTTGTCCCCAGCCTCTGTTGTCAGGAGGTGACCCACAAAGGGCTCACTGCTGGCTGTAGCTGCCCAGAGTTGAAGCCTAGCGTGCGCTGCCAAAGCCACCTGGCAGGTACTCCTGGGTTAGCCCCTTCCTCTCTGCATCTGTCAATAACACAAGCAGCTTTCCCTTGCTGACTTTTCCCAGCTGACCTTTTTAAGCATGGCTGTGGGTTCTGCCCCATCTTCCCTTTGACAGCTCTGAAGGCTCACTCTGAACTTTGCAGCACAGACCAGATTCTGGCAGGAATCAGCAGCGTTCCATGGCTGTGGGCTTGCCTGTTTTCCCTTCCTCAGAGTTGAGCTTAGCACGCTTGGGACCACTTGTGAGGGACACTTCCTTTTCAATCAGTGGATGGGGTGGTCCTCCAGCAGGTGAAGCTTGGAGCTGGCTTTTGCACAAGGAAGAAATTTCTGCACTGAAGTCAGGGAGCCAGGAGATCAAGTTCTTTAACTCACTGATGGGGACAGGTTTCTCCTCTGCTGCACTTTGTGCAATGAGAGGGACCCCTGCGATACTAGTGGTACGGAAAGGGTTCTGTGTGCCTTGCTGAGGGTTTATTGCAGGTATTTTGAGTCTCCTCTTGATCCATCCCAGCTGATAACTCAAAGTGGCCTCCCAAGGCCTTTTCTCATTCAGAGAAAAGGCCAGAAGGTGTTTCGGACTCCTGCTTCCCTTGCTGTGGTCCTGCTTGGTTCCTGCCTTTGTTCCTATTGCATCTTCTAGCTGAGGCTGTTCAAAGTCTGAGATGCAAGTTGTCACTGCGTGCATGGTATGATGCCTGGCTCTGCTTTTCCCCTAAGTTTCTTGCTTATGCTAAGCAATACCTGACTTTCACACAGCTTCTGACACCCTAGGAAGGGGTGGTAAGGCAGCCCCTGTGAGAAGGGGAGATATGGCAGTAGAAATCTTGGGGTTTTATGAAGGCTTTACCTCTACTGCGTGGTATAGGTCATCTCACTATGGCTGTACGTACCTTGTCATGGGAGCCAGCGAGGTTAAAGGAGGATAGAGCAGTGCTGGGGATAGTGAAGGGGTTAAAGCACAGCCGTTCTGCCCAGTCAGTCAGCCTTGCCTGTAATAACCAATTAACAGAGTGTAATTGTGCAAATCCATATGTGGCAGTAATTACCAGGGAGATTAATGGATTCCTTCCTTTCTGAGCGGACCCCAAACCCCACTGCTGCTTGCCAGCATCCTCCTGCCACCCAAAAGGACTCAGTGAGGGGGGGCCCACAGGAGCTGCCCCATGCTGGGTGCTCTGTGAGGAGCCCACCAGACAGGGAGGCCCTTGGGAACTGCTCTATGCCTCTTGAAATACCCCTTTTCATCTGCCTGCACTTCCTTACGTGCAGCCTGGCTGCCTGGCTCAGACCTGGCTGCCCAAGGACAGTTTGTGCACAGCTCGCTGCGTGCCTGCCCTCTTCATTGTCCATTCATTCCCTACACCTCTTTTCCCTATTTAGCCCTAATTGCTGCAGAATATCATGTTTGTTTGTCCCTTTTTTTTTTTTTTTTTTTTTGCAGCTTTGTTGCTTTAGCTGCAATGGGTAAACCAGCAAACTGCTGCAGGCATAAGCAAGGTGAAGAGGGATGGCAGCCAGGAAAACAGGGCACTTTGTGCTGTGTTTGGGGTGGATTTGCAAATGAAGTTGCTGGAATTGTGTTGGGAGAAAATCATTCTGCAAGCAGGCTGGACCACCGCATCCTTTGTGACGAGCTCTGTTTGGACCTTATGGCTGTAGAAGCAAAGGGTGACTCTAGAGCAGGGGGCTTCTTTCCCCTTCATGTGCTCTTGGAGGTGAGAAAGAGAGCACTGATTTCCGCTGAGAGAAAAGCAGATGCACTTGGGGGAACTGCTCTGGGCTCTTCCACAGCTCTACCAACTATTGGCCACTCAAGCTGCAAAACTAACTACCCCTCTGCAGCCTTGCCTTGGCAAAATGTGTGTGCTGTTAAGTGGTGCGGGGCAGCTGGGAGAAGCTTGGCCCTGTGTCTGTACCAAGCCACAATCCCTGCTCTGACAGCTCGAGCAGGAGCTGGGCAGAGTGATCTCATGGAGACTGATGTGCCGGCCGTCTCGGCACGCACAGGGCTGCGGGTGCCTTGGGGCAGCTGTGCGTGCTCAGCCAGGGATGGGGAGCCAGGTGCCCTTTGGAGCCTGGGAGGGCAGGGAGCAGTCACATCGCATCTCCATGTCAAGCAAAGGTCCCTCCTCCTTGCTGCTGTCTTCATCAGGCCAAAATTCTGCATGAGGTGCTCGGCAAAGAGGTGAGCAAAGCTGCTCTCCAAGGAGGGCTGCAAGTGATGGAGGAGGCTTTGGGAAACGCTTGCCCTGGAGGTGATGGGGATGCACAGAGAGGTGCAGCTTCCTAGAGGAGAACGAGGGGTGTGGAGCCCTGGCAAAGGAGCTGCTTTTGACTCTACTTGGGTTCCTGGGAGCCAGAATGTCCTTTGCTTTTTTTTTAATCCAGAAAGAGGCATGAGTGCAGCTCTGGGCTATTGCTGACGGGAGATCTGTTTGTTGGAGAGCTGTGTCCACTGGTGTCAGCTGTTTAAGCTCTTCTATTTCACCTGGCCAAGGGTGCGTCAACATTCATCCTCCTTTGCTGCTGTGTCATCCTGGGTTAGAGGTTACGTGTGTAGATAGCTGTGATTTAAGGGATCTGCTGGTGAAATAAGCCAGGGTAGGCTGTGAAGGCAGCCTGCTCTGTGTGGCCATGGCTTGGCTCTTAAAAGCTGTCAAATTTCTTTGTGAAAACAGCTCTTGCCCAGTGTTGACTTCTAGCCTGCACTTGGGAATGGCATGACGGAATGTCTGTGGTTTCAGCCAGCAGGACAGACCCCATGCTGTGTAGATAGTGAGTTCACTGGTAGGGATGTAGTCTTTAGGTCTGCTGGAAGTGGTTGTGCCTAAGAACCCAAGATGCTAACAAACTCTGTGAAGTTTAAGATCTCTGACAGAGATGGCTCTGTGTTGGAGAAGCTGCTCTGCCATCCTCGGAGCTTGCTTTAATACTCAAGCTGCAAATTTTATAGTCAGTGCGCATGGATGCAGTGCAGGTACCCAAGAGTGCGTGGCTGTGCCTGTGTGAGCTCATTCCCTTGCTCTCCTCCTGCTGCTCCTTCTGCTCAAATAGATGGGGCCAAAACATGTGGCTGTGGACAGGCACTCACTGCTTCCTTCTCTCCCTTTCTACTGGGATAGGGTATAGAGCAGCTATTTGACGGTGCCAGCAAATGTCAGCACATGCCTCTGCCAACTCTTCATGCATTTGCTCTTTGCTGCTGTGCTGTCTTGGCTCTCTGCATGGTGTGGTCTGTGCTCGCCTTGATCCAAGGCTGCTCCTTTATTTGAGGCATGGGGAGTTGTAGTCTTAATCAGCACCTATTTGAGGGGGAACATGTGGCTTTCTGGAGGAAAATACATTTGAAAGGTGATGGAGGCTGTTGATAAGGAGAAGGATGCTCAGTGCTGCTGGCTCCTTACCTGCCCCTTGGCTGTGCAATTGCTGAGGGGAGCAGATCTCATGGGGCTGTTCTGGCTGAGCTCTGTGTTGTGCTTGTCTCCCTCTGGCTGCTGCAGTGTATGGAGTCCCAGGGGAAATGCTTGCAGAGAAGAGATGTGTGCATCTGTCAGAGCAAGGCAAAGCTGCTCAGTGTCCTGAATATCAAACAGCAGGCTGGTGGGCTCAGACTGATGTTGGCTGGTGTGCTGTTGGGCAAAAGTGCAGCTGTCTTTTGTTTTCTTGGTGGCCCAAATACATTGTAGGGTGAACTGAGGGGCTTGCAGTGTTCAGGATGGCCGTACTGATAGTGCTGCACTCATTTATAAGCTGGTGGTATTTGATTTTCTTCCCAAAGAATAGGCTGGGTCTGCTGGAGAAGAGTTAAGGAGCGCTATTCAGTGTACAGACCCTATTTGAGCAAGCCTGGTGCTGTGGCCTTGGAGAGAGTGTGGGTTAGAATGGGATGTGTTGGCCTCCACTCTGTGGCAATGCATAAGGGCATGGGATTGGGAAGTCCTATGACGGATGTCAACCTTCAG